TGGTTGGGACGTCCAAACGCCACCATCTTGGCTCTTGCGACCTCAAACCCGCGAGCTGTATGGGTGGTCCTGACGTCGACAGACGCCCGAGGACCACGGTGAAGCTGAGCCGGAACGCGTCGACAAGTCTCGTCTGAGCCCGTGGCGGTCGCCGGCTGAGTCGCTGTGCACGGGCCGGTACCTCAGGCGTCACCTCCGCAGCCTCAGGTCTCACACTCCATCACCTCCGCCGGGACGCCTTCGATGGCACGCTCGGCGGCGAGTTTGTGGCAGCCCCACAGCGAGCGCGGCGTCGAGCCTACTCGCTCCTGCTGGATACACGCACTCCCTGGGACCCAGGGAGTGTGTGTATCCAGCAAGCGGTGCGTCCCGGTGGCGCGCGCAGGCTGCGGAGCTGCCACAAACTCGAGACACGCTTTTTTGGGACATTTTCGACGCTTTTGGCCCATATACTCGTGCAACAACCCTTCTCCACACACACGAGGTGGTGGGGCAAGGGGGGGCAACCCTCGCGTCTCCACGTCTGACGACAGGAGCCCCACGGCATTCAAAGTGCAAGGCCCAGTGCGCGTGGGTGAGCGGTGTGTGTGTGTGTGTGTGTGTGTGTGTGTGTGTGTGTGTGTGTGTGTGTGTGTGTGTGTGTGTGTGTGTGTTGTGTGTGTGTGTGTGTGTGTGTGTGTGTGTGTGTGTGTGTGTGTGTGTGTGTGTGTGTGTGTCTCACGTCACTGCATCCTCCGCCGGTTCCTCCCGTCGCCTCTTCTTTGTTCGAATGTTTTTCAATCCATCCTTCACGAAGCCCTCCCATGTAGCTAGCGTTCTTGGCGAATGTCTCGAAATGGCCAGCAGGCGCTGTCTGCTCGCGGTCTGTGCGGGCCGCTCGTCCTCCTCGCCCTTCTTTCGTCCTCCCGTCCCTCCCCTCCACCATGGCCTTCTCGGCACTTCTTTCTCCATCCGCCTCGCCCTGCCTTTTCGCATCGTGCCGTTCGCCCTCCATCCGGTGACCTCCATGGCTGTCCGCCCCTTTTTGGGTGGCGCTCTCGATACGGTTGCGTCAACCTCGACGTCGCTGTCGCCCTCCCCGTCCCCGCCGGCGTCCGTGCCTCGGTTCGCGTCATCGGTAGCGTCTCCGTTGTTCCCTCGTGCCCCGCCGTCGCCCTCTCTGCTCGGGCCGTTAGCGATTTCGCTCCTCCTGCGTGTCGCCCCTCCGTCCCCTCCCCTTTCTTCGTCGTCATCGTCGCTGTCGCGAAAGCCCTCCGGTCCCTCGATTCCCTCGCCTATCCCCTCCGCTGCGTCGTCCCAGTTTATATCCTCATCCTCTGCGCACGTCGCGTTGGCTTCCTCTCTCCCCCTTTCCTCCCAAACTTGGGCAGCAGTTGCAAAGCTGTTTCATCCCTTAGTTGCAGCCTCAGTTGCACCCTGTTGATGTAGCACAACCTGAGCACAACCAGTATACTCTCTGTGGACATTTGAGGACATCAAGTGCCGGGAGTCATTGCCACTGTGCACAAAGGTACTGTGCAGGCGCAGCACCGCAGCAGCGTCGCCGCTGCAGCAGCGTCGCCCCTGCAGCGCCACCGGCGCACAAAGCGCAACTGACCACAGCGCTCATGGCACAAGGCTGGTGCCATGAGTCAGTGGACATTGGCCACTGCACAAGGTGCTGTCCAGCAGCTAAGGGCTGCCAGTACCCCATCGCAGCAGCGTCGCCGCCGCTGCAGCGTCGCCGTTGCAGCCGAGCGTCGCCAGTGCACAAAGCGCAATGGACCACAGGTCTGCACTCATGGCACAAGCTCACTGGTGTGAGGATTCATTGCCACTGTACAAGGTGCTGTGCAGCACCTGAGGGCTACCTGAGTACTGCCATGTTTGCTGCATCAACAGGGGTGCAACTGAGCTGCAACTTGAGCTAGAACTTGAGAGGCTGCAACTCAGGGATGAAAGTACTGCCAGCCAAGTTTGATTGCTGCTGCAACCCTGATTTCTAACTCTGACTCCAATGGGTCTACATCTCTGCTGTGTTAGGATCATCAGAGGTGTCGAGCGGTGTCGAGCGGTGTCGAGCGGTGTCGAGGGGTGTCGAGCGGTGTCGAGGGGTGTCGAGGTGTCGAGTTTGGCACCTTGACACGGTCGAGCATGGTTTCAGCCTAGATGGTGTCGAGGGGTGTCGAGGGGTGTCGAGGGGTGTCGAGGGGTGTCGAGTTGGTCGAGTTGGCATGGGGTGTCGAGGTGTCGAGTTGGTGTCGAGTTGGTGTCGAGGTTTGGTGTCGAGGTGTCGAGGCCAGGGCTCAGACCAGGGCTCAGCGAGGCGGCTCGCAGCACGGTGGACTCCCTTCTCCACTGGCGCTTAAAAAAGAATTCTAACAACACAAGCCGCTCTCACAACTCACAGCAGACTGGCTCGGACTGGCACCACAAAAGGCAGCTTAAGAAAGAAAGAATAAATAAAAATTGGGTTCTTGGGAGGCTCAAGTCATGCACTTGGAGCACTTGGAGTGCAGTCATCAACCCCACACCCAGGGCCGGGGAGCTAAGAAGCGCACCCAGTTGGCCAGATGATCGGTACGAGTGTAGAGAGCCCTGTGTGGGTGTCTCGCTCGACCCGACGAAAGTGACAAACCATCAATCAAAGTGTGTGTACAGAGGCATTGCAGAAAGCCTGGAGAGGAAACAGACAACCCTCAAGGGAGGATGGGAGGACGGCACGCCGCCACCAGGCCACCACGCAGGGATTTTAAGTGAGGAGACGAGAGGAAGTGTGGCTCTGGCTCGCTCTGACCTCTGTCCCCCCACAGCGTACCCAGCCGAGTGGCCGAGATTTTTTTTTACGGGCGCTTAAGGATTTGTTTTCTTTTGCATTCTCTCATACCTGAAGGTACGTGTATATTCCCTGAGATCCTAGACCATCGACTTGATGGAGTTCATCATGCCGGCCTGGGTTCAGGGGAGTTGGGGGTATGGAGCTCTGCCATCGGGCGCGGTGACGCGCTCAGAGTACCATGCCTACGAGCTCTCTGGTCGGGTCGCCGGCAGCGGGCTTGCGCGGCGCGCCGCTCGACGGCGGGCTGCTCACAACCCTTTCAACAGTCAGTGTCTCCTGCCTCGCTTCTCTCGCTGCAACTCCGCCTCCGTCCGGGGGCCGGCGCCGGCCGCCTCGCTTCGCCAGCGCTGCCTACGCCTATGGGCGTGTTTTGGCTGTTTTCATATTCAACTGCACAACATTACGCAAAATTTCCATTTTCCCAGTAAGCTAAAAGTACGTACAACAAAATTGGCGAGGTTGGAGTTATGCTGCGGCTGCGCGACTGTGCAGCAATGTATATGTCGCGTTTCCTCCTCGGTGCGCCGCTGCTCCATCGCTGCCGCCGCCGCCCTCTGCTCCGCCGTCGCCGCCGCCGACGCCCCCACCGACCGGCGCTGCCGGCTCAAAAGGCGACCCTCATCTCCGTCTCGGCCACGGCGGCGAGGCGGACTTCCGTGGCCGGAACCAGACCCGGTTCAACTTTCTCAGCGCGCCGCGCGTGAGTGTGAATGTCCTCACAGAGGACGGCACCTTTCGAGTCCACGGTGCCACCGTCAACGGGTCGTGGGTTACACAGGCCCACGTGGTCGCCAGCACCGTTGCGGGCATGCTCCACTTCTCGTACTGGGCGGCCAAGATTTCGGCAAAGACGCTGATCGGCTGGTCCAACGGCACCTGCGGGGGCAGGCCCTTCAAACTGGTCGGCCTGGCGCTCACGCCGCTGAGGGACGGACCGAAAAACCGGCAGGAGTGCGGCGAGGTCGTGCTGCAGGCCAACTACTCTAGCGTTCTCCTGTCGCTGCCGGAGTGGTACGTCAGCATCAGCCCGATGGCTGTGCCCAGCTACGACTACCAGAAGGACTGGCTGAGCGGGCCCAAGGTGCGGCTCGACCTCGGATTCTCCCTCCGCGTGCCGGAGGAGAGCTTGCAGGTCGCGCCGCACGGCATCATTGGCCAATCCTTCGACGGCGACGGCATCGGCATCAGCGGCGCGCGCGATCCGGCGCCACGCGCGGGCGCCCACCTGAGCACGACCGCGATGGCCGAGGGTGCGATCGAGGGCTCGTGGCGCGACTACGTCATGGCGTCAGAGTACGACACCGTGTTCAAGTTCTCGCGGTTCGGGGCGGCGTTTGCGGCCCCGCGCAACACGACGGCGCTCACCGGCGAGCGGATCCGCTCGCTGGCGAACACAGGCTCCGCCATGGCCACCGAGAAGTATTAGGTGAGGGCTTGCAGGGCGTGTGGTGGTGGGGATGGGGGAGAGGGGCGGGGGCTGGCACGAGCAGCACGTGGCCGGGGCGGATATCAACAAAAGGGAGTCCATAGAAAATTTTCTTTTCACCGCTGTGCGCGTGCGTCGGAAAATTCTTTTCCCTTCTTGTGTCGACGGCTCTCGCTGCTCCTCTCTCCTTCCTCTCTCCTCTCGCTCGCCCGTCGAGCAACCAACCAACAGCGAGGACGCCGGCGCCTCGGACTGCCGATGTGGGTGCTCCTCGCCGTCGCGCCGCCTCGTGCGCCTCGCGGGCCCGCCACCATGAGCCTCGCCAAATCTCAGCCCTGCAATTATGACCTGCCCTGCCCTGCCTGCCGCACTGTGCCCTGCCCGCACACTGCCGCATAACTGCCCTGCCCGATCCCCTACCTGCCCCGGGTGTGAAACCCACACTGCCCTGCCCGACCCAGCGCACACTTCCCGCCCCCTCTACTCAGTGGACACGAGGGGTCGGGCAGGGCAGTGTACCATGCGGAATCGACCCTATGCCTATCCAGTGCTCACTCAAGTGCTCAAGACTCAAGTCACAAGTGGACACGACACTAGCTTGTAGTTTTAGGTTTGTAGTGATACGAGAATACGCACCGCCCCCACGCAATACCATTCTACTCGACGAGAATACGATAAAGGAAGATATGCCAATTCTTTTGCGCTTGGATTTCTTTCGCTTTTTGGGCGAGACACTTTGGCTCTCGCCGCCGTGCGTGTGTGGTTCCGTGCCAGCATCCGCAAACCGTGTGGTTCCGCGCGAGCATCCACTGCGTGGTCCACGCACGTCCGACGATGATGAATCCCGAAAGTAAACCCTCCCTCTCCTCCTCGCCCTCCGCGCCGCCTCGTCGCACACTCTTCCGTGGCGTTTTGCACGCTTGCGCCCTCTCCGAGCGACACGCCTCCCCTATGCCGCGCAGTGATGAAGGCGGCGACCGACATGATGTCCAAGATGTCGCCCGAGGAGATGAATCAAATGATGGAGGCGCCCGCAGTGCAGCATCGCCGCCTGCCGAAACGGCGCGCTCTCTCACCCTCCAGCCTGTCTGCGTGTGCAGATGACAAAGAAGATGGACCCGTCGATGATGGCGCAGGCGCAGGCGATGATGAACAACCCCGCGATGGCGGCGCAGGCGCAGCAGGCGATGCAGAACCTCTCCCCTCAAGAGCTCAAGTCGCGCATGGCCGGCGCGTCTGCGGCGATGGGAGGAGCGCCCGCCGCGCCAAAGCCGAAGTCTGCGGTGGAGCAGCTCAAGGGGTCTTCGATGGTGATCGACGAGGAGGTGCTCAGCCACGTCGAGCGCGCCGAGGCGCTCAAGCTCAAGGGCAACACGCACTTCAAGGCGGCCGAGTACGAGGCGGCGATCGGCGAGTACGAGCAAGGTCGCCTCGCCCGCCACCGCAGCCTCCCCGCATCCACTGCCTCCCCGCATCCATGTCTCCCCGCATCCATGCCTCCCCGTATCCGCTGCCTCCCCGTTGGCATGCCTCCCTTCCTGCACGCCTCCCTGCCGTATGCCTTCCTCCCTCCCTCCCCCTCCCCCTCCCGGCTGCCCTCTGCGGGCGGGAGAGGGGGGCGAGCGAGCGTGCCCGCAGCCCCGTGCCGACTCCTGAGGGGCGTGTGTGTGCCGAGTGCTGAGGGGCGTGTGCTGCCGCTGCAGGCTGTGCCTTGGCGGAGGAGGCGATCCGCGAGCTGTCCGGCGTCGACGAGAAGGCGCGGCCGCACCGGCCCGCCGCACGCGATCGGGCGCCTCCGCGCTGTTTCAGAGGCCTGGCCAGGGGCACCTGCAGGGGGGTACCACCACCCCACTCATGCTCACACGTCTTGCGAGAATGGGGGCGGCTAGGTGCGAGGGGGGGGGGGGGGGTGCTTGAAGAGGACCCGCATCTTACCGTGACGCCTCCTCCCACCGCGCCGGCAGGCAGTCATCGAGCTGCTACACGCCTGCCACCTCAACACCGCCTCGTGCCGCCTCAAGCTGCGGCAGTGGGGCGAGGCGGTCGAGGCGGCGAACACGGTCCTGCGCGACGGGCCGCACCGCAAGGCCCTCTTCCGGCGCGGGCAGGCGTACCAGCAGCTCGCCCGCCTCGACGAGGCTCGCACCGACCTCAAAAAGGCGCAGCGCCGCCGCCCCGCGCCCGTCCCGCGCCACCGCCCGGGCCCGACGGCCGGAGCCATGAGGACGGCTCAAGCCCTCCCGGCACGCATGCCTGCAGGCGGCCGCCATGGACCGGTCCGACGCGACGGTCGCCGCCGCGCTCGCCGAGGTCGAAAAGGCTCTCGGCGTCGAGCCGTCGCCGCCGCCGGCCGCGCCGCCCGCCGCCGCCGCCGCCGCGCGGCCTCCGCCCGGTGGAGTGCCGACGAAGCCCGACGGCTCTCCCGACTACGCGCAGATGGAGGCGACGGGCCGTCGCCGGGGTGTGCGGCGGCTCTGCCCCCCCGACCGACCGACTTGCGCCGCGCCCCGCCTCAGGCTATGATCGACAACATCTCGCCTGAGCAGATGAAGCAGCAGGCGGGCGGCCTCGGGAGAGATGGGGAGAGATGGGGAGAGATGAAGCAGCAGGCGGGCGGGCGGGGAGAGATGGGGAGAGGTGGGGAGAGATGAAGCAGCGGGCGGGCGTGCTGCGAGATACAGCTGCTCCTCGTTTGCTGCCCCTCGCGCGCCCAGGGACAGCCGAGGGACAGCCGAGATGTGACACGCCACAGAGGTGGAGATGCCGCCAGAGTTGAAGCAGCGCGCGGCCGCTGTCGGCCCCCCCGCACGCACCCCCTTCCCCCGCCCCTCCCCCCCCCCACCTCCCCCCCCCCTCCCCCCCCCGGCCCAGGCGGAGATGATGCAAAACATGGACCCCGCGCAGCTGGCCGCCATGAACCCGCAGTTTGCGGGCATGGACCCGGCGCAGGCGAGGGAGCCCTCCCTTCTCTCCGGCCGGAGCCACTCTCCCCCCTTCGGCGCGGCCGAAGCGCCGCCTCGACCCCTCTCCCCTTCCGCCACCTCGCCCGCAGATCAAGGCGATGTCGTCGATGATGGCCAACATGGACCCCGCGACGATGAAGCAGATGACTAAGATGGCGTCGCAGATGGGGGCGACCGGAGGCATGCCGGGCATGCCTGGCGCACCGGCCGCGCCAGCCGGCGGCGGCGGGGCCAGCGGCGGCGCGGCTGGCGGCGCGGGCCCGTCTGCTGCCCCGGCGCTGCCCGGGATGGCCGGGTTGGCGGGTGGGCGGCGCCGGGGCTCGGCGACGGAGTCGACATGATGGTGCGCGCGCGGGCGGGCGGCGGCGGGAGGAGGCGGCCTTGGACCTCACCCCCGCCCGGCCGCCCTCCCCCTCCTCCTCGCAGGCGAACATGAGCCCGGAGATGATGCAGGCGGGGATGGACATGGTCGCGAACATGGACCCGGCGGCCCTCGCAGACATGGCCAAGATGATGGGCATGGATGCCGGACAGGCGCGCCCCGCGGCTCTCCAGCGCCCCGCCCAACCCGCAGCCCGCCTCCCCCCACCCCACCTCCCCCACCCACCCCGCCTCCGCAGCCCCCCCCCCCCTCGCCCCTCCCCCCCCCTCTCGCCCAGCCAGAAGCGCCGCCACGCGTCGCCGTACCGCCTTCCCTGCCGCGCCGCCCACCCTCCCTGAAGGGGTCAAAGCTGCAGGACACGATGGCAAACATGTCCAAGGAGGACCTTGCCAAGTGGACCGGCCGCGCGCAGACGGTCGCCCGCTGGACGGCAAAGCCGCTCGCCCTCTACCGGAAGGTCTCCTCCCTCGTGCCGCCAACCTACCTGCTCGCCGGCTAGGTCGCTCTCTTCGCGCTAATGGTGCCCTCACCAAGCACCGGGCCCGCCCCCCCCTCCACCGCAACCACAACCACCTCACCCCCCCCCCCCCCCTCCAGGTGTACGGTCACCAAACCGACTCCTTCTGACGCGCCCGCCTCGTTGCCGCCGCGCCCCTCTCTCCGCGGACTGCCCAACACGCGCTGCTGCCCACGTGTATCTCTCTGTCTCTCTTCGTCTCTTGCCTCCTACGCGCCTGCCTCGCCTCTTGCCCCGCGCGCACGCGGGCGCAATGCCACTTGCACGCTCTACCGCTTGTGTGTCCATGGCACACACGGTCGCTGCGCGCGGCGGTTCGCAAACCGCCAGTGCGCCGCCGCGCGCAGCTCGGTCGCGGCGGCCCTTGTGAGGGGCTGAGGGCTGTGCAGCCCTCACAAGGTGTGTGCGCGAGAGGCCACACACCGCGGCGACCTCCACACGATGCGCCGCAATCCCACACACGCCTCGCGCGCGCGCCCGACTATATGGGTTAATATCCGTGAGCTCGCGACCCGCATGATTTTTCCCGCGCCGCTCCAAAGACAGCCGTACATGGTACAGTGTTGGCACACCATCAAACGCTGGGCTACCTCTTTCTATTGACGCCCTTGCGCTTGGCCTTCCGGCTGACACCCGCTGCGTTCTGCTTATGCTGCCGCCGCTTCACCTTTCGTTTCACCTTTGCGAGTCCTCGCCGAACCTTCTTCTGCGAGTCTCCTCCTGTTCGAGAGCCCATCGCAGCGTCGCCATCGCCATCGGTCATGGAGGTGCCTGCAAGCGCGTCGACGACCTTGTCGAGCGCCGAAGCCGTCTTGGCCCGTGTGACTTGCTTCTTGGACTTCAACTTCACCATCTGCTGTCGCCTCTACTGGCTGTCACCACGGTCGCTGCAGACCTGTTTTGTTGCCCGAGGAGCGTGCTGTGCAGTATCTGTGCGTGGGCGTCCTCGCAGTCGCCCAGGCAAGAGCGTGGCTGTCAAAAGCAAGAAATCACGCGGTTCGTCCTCCCATCCCTCCCTTCCAAAATCCTGCTCGTGCAGGTGGGGACCCTGTCCTCGTCCCATCCCTCGTTTGGCGTGTCTGTTTTCTTTCTTTCTTTCTTTTCCCTTGGCTTGTCTGTTTTCTTTCTTTCTTTCTTTTCACGAACGAATGGTGGAGTCGCGTGCGCTCGGCTTTCTAGTGCCAGGCTGAGCGCGCAGCGCACGTACAGAGAGAGGAGAGGTACGAGCCATTACTCGAGAGAGGAGTGCGCGAGCGAGCAGGAGCCGAGTCCCGAGCGAGAGGGGTGGGTGGGGGCACGCAGCGTATTTTTCGGTCTCTTCTTTGGGAAAGAATTCTGACCCCGTGGTCATATGTACGGCCCTCTTCGCTCTTGTGGCGCAAATATAGCCGTCAGACCAAGGAAGGTCTCCCCAAATACGGCGGGGCGCCCTGCCCATGGCAAACAACCGGCCGGACCTTGCTCAGCACGACGCGCCGACCGACATCGGTGCTCGCAATGCCCGCCCACCCTGACGACGATGGCACTCGACGTTCCGCACCTTCTTCATGCTGGAAGCTGAGTTCGTGCGCAAGTTCCCAGGCAAAAGCCTGCCCTTCTTCCAGGAGCTCCGTGACAACTTCACCGCTGACGAGCCGCTCGTCAAAGTGGCGCTCGACTACGCTGACGTGGTGAAGGGCACCCACCGTCGGGCCGAAGCCCGTAAGGCACTCTCTCCCTAACCCTAGCCTTCTCCCGAACCCTAGTGTGTTTTGTTGCCTCCGTGCTTTCACACTCGTCTTGTCGTGTCCGTCCACTGTGATTGCGGCCGTCCACGACTACGTCGTCTCTAGAGAACGTATCAACCCCCTTCTGGTGCCGACCGCGCCCCCGCGGGGCACGGCCGGACGTGGTAGCGTCAACTGGTCACGACCAGCACTTTGGGGGAGTCCCTTCACGCTATCCCAGATATGGCCGGCGACTCGCTGGCGGGGAGCCTCGGGGAGGTCCCCGCCAAAGATGTCGCAGTCATCGCAAAAGCCGCTTCTGAAGAAGCCGCAAAGTGGCTCAAGCGCAACAACGTCGAGGCGGGCGCCGGCACGCTCGCCTATGCCGGCACCCTCCTCAAGATCAGCACCTCCAGCGACCAGAGGACGCGGACCGGCATATTCATCCTCATCGCATCAGGGGGCACCGTTTACATCGAACCCCTCTCAAGCAAGGTCATCGCGAGCGCCACCGACGCGCTGATCAAGCTGTACCTGCAGTCGGACACCCCGGAGCGTCGCACGAGCATGTCCGAGTACGTTGAGCTCTCTTTCGCCGACAAGATCAAGTTGCCCCAGCAGTTTGGAGGCCCCGCTACCACCGTCACCCGCACCCTGGTGGACGACACCGAGCTCAACCGTTTCGTCTCCGTCTCGCACGTGGACAAGCG